CCCCAAAACCCCAAAACCCCAAAACCCCAAAACCCCAAAACCCCAAAACCCCAAAACCCCATAAATTATTATTTAAAATAATAATTAAAGAGAGAACTGACAATGGAATCTTTGCTAAACCCAATCAGTTATAAGAACATCGAGCATATTAGGAAGAATCTTAATAATAGATCTGTTTTGGTTCATAAATGCTACAAAAGTTCTACCAAGAGTAAGTCATGTTTATCAGGGTTTAGCACAGTTATTAATTGGTGGCGTTTACAACTCTAACTTGTTTGTAGCTTAAATAGATATAGGTGACTTTTAAGGAAGCCTATTTTCTCTAGAATTTAGTATTTAATAGCTAATATTACAAACTTGCTCTTAAAGACTTGATTCATACTTGTCTATATGTTCCTTTGTTTAGGCTGACTCAAAGTGTACTTACTCAATATTTTTTTTATGAAATCTTTCGTTCTTATAAGTCCGTAATATTTCTCCAATTGGGTCAGAAATATAATGATCATCAATATATATAGTTAAGAGTACCATTAAAGTTAATAGCATAAATATGTTCTAATCAGCAGTTTGATTTTTATTCCAGCTCCAAATTAATACTAGTGCGGCAAAATATATCTCCAAGAGTTTTAACTTAAATGTAATACTATCTAAAACTTTGTGATGGATTAGACTACAGATGAAAGTTTCATTCGTATTTTAGCTTGAATATTAGCAAGTTATTAAACATTATTATTTAGGAGCAAACTGCTTGCCCCAGTATCAACCAAAAAGCAGTGCAGTATTGAAGAAGAAGCAGTTTTTAGCTACCAAGAAAGATCCTGCCCAAAAGAAGGTATTACAGAGTCATAAAAGCCATTTGAATAACCCGAGGGTTTTAAAGAAGAGGTCTAAGCATAAAGGTATCATCAAGAAGAATCTTGTCCCAGTCAAGGTGAGCATTCAAAGGCGTGGTTTAGGGTTATAGAGGGTTTACAAAAGGCTTTCAACGAAATCTTTCATCTTTGTGAACAAAATTTTACTTTTAGAAAATAATAAAGTTGCCCAAAAAAATAATGCTTTCAGATAGGCTTATTGGGTAATTTTTATTGAGTGCACTTTCTGTTTAAATCCTTTTGCTTTATTTGACTGGACTGATATAGAAAGAAATTAACTTATTATAAGCAAGCCGAGTTTACCAAATTCGATGGTACTATTGAAAAATTACCGTGTAGAGTAAGAGCGTAAAGAAAAATAAGGCAATCTTATCAAACTCGTATTATGCAGAGTCAGCACCCCAAGGCGACAGAGGAGATTTTAAGAACTCTGTTCCTCGAAGTAGGTTTAGGAAGAGTTCTTATTGTTCAACTTTTTCAGCAGGAAGCCAGTGAAGAGTTCCAAAAATCCAAATTGTAGGTATTTTTACATACACAACAATTTTTAAAATGATCCTAAATTGTTTTGAAAACTCATTGACAACGGATTTATAGAACATGAAGACTTTCAGTACCCAATCTGAGGAAGACAACGAGAGGTTCGATTCTGGAAGCATTGACATTTCTCAGTACTCTGGTTATAATAGACCCTCTCAGGATAAGTATGCAATTGATTTCTTATTCGGCCTGAAATGCCAGCTTTTGCTTTGAGATTTTGATTCATGAAGGAGATTATGAAGCTCATAAAATATTTCATCATGCATGTTTAGATTTAGAGGACCCAAAATGTTGATGGGTTTTAATAGTATCGACATAAACTGATAGATGTTGAAATAGCAATTCATGCTTCATAATTTTATCGCATATGTTCTCTCTTGTGGCATTTATTAGTCTCGGAGATTATAGTAATGGATGCTTAATTCTTTGATTGGTATAAAACATTATTTAGGAATGTAAAAAATAAGTGCAAAATAACTGTTAAGGGAAATTTAGAGGACAAAATAAAAACTTGGTTTCTCTGAACTCTATATATTGACCTTTGCATATTTCATAAGTTTGAGAAATTAGAGCAAATTACATCATTCCCTTCTAAAGCACTTTCAGGAATTTAGTGGATATTAAGTATTTTAGGTTTGATTGCACACTAGAGCCGACTAGAGATATAAAAATACTATTTGAAAACAGGTAAGCTTTCTTTTATTAATTTTTTAGGCACCGATCTTTATCAAACAGCCTAAGGAAAAGATCCACTTGATTTAAAGCCAATAAGCATGCAGTTGTTGAGTTGGATAAAATTCGCACTCAAAATAAATGTTCTAACAGTAAATCAATTTAAAACATTATATTTTCTTCTGTTACTCAAACTCTCCTGTAGAATTAATGAAGCCTAATAAACCTAAAACCTCTATTAGTTCAAAGGCTAGTAAAGCAAACTTGCTCAAAAGAAAGGGGATAAGTTTTAGAAACATGCAGCCGAAGCAAAAGAGATATGTTGCTTTGAAGCCTGAAATTATTAAAGAACCTAGTATTCCCCCACAGAATCCCACACCAACAAATGTAAGGACTTTGCAAACAATTTAGGCAAATAAGGGGTTTCTCACCAATAGATCTCAACAGATTCCTTCCACAATAACTGCCACAAGGAAAGCTAAGGATAAGCAGAAGACTATGAAGCTAAGGTAAAACCTATTGGCTACAACTATCTTTAGGTATTCAGAGTTTTTGATTGAAAAGGAAAGATCCCGGAAAGTCCCATTCAGAACTTATTCCCTGCAATATGAACCCAAGAAGAACCAATAATATAATATGTTGATCTTTGATACACAACTAAGTGCAAGCAAACTTGGTTTTGGGGCTATGAGAGTTCTTTGAATATTTAGTAATATTGAACATATAAAGCCATATTAAAAACAATATTATTGATAAACTGGGGTTTTGGGGTTTTGGGGTTTTGGGGTTTTGGGG